AGGGCAGGGCAGGGCAGGGCAGGGCAGGGCAGGGCAGGGCAGGACAGGACAGGGCAGTGAAAAGGACACAAATAGGATGCCAGATCGATACCAGTTTTATACGGGTTCGCCTTTAAAGGAAAGGTTCGATTTGGATAAAAAGAAGACGAGAAAAAAGTGAAGCACAGTTTATTTATAAAACCGCAGGGACATGTCTGGTTACTGATGCACAGAGAGAGCCAGGCTTAAAAACTTTGTGAACATTGCTAGCAGCACCATTACCCTTTCAAAACCGACCCAAAAGATTAGTTCAAGGACAGCATAAGATTCATCCCCGAGAATTCCATGGGGGTACACAAAGGTAGATCTTCAAGAAAGGAAAGAGTATTTCAGTTCTAAATAATTTTTTTTAAAAAGCTTTTATATCTGCACACCGTAAAAAGCATCAATTTACGAATCACAACATTTTTAGGCGAAGAATATTTTTTCGAAAAAGTCATTGGACTTCATAAATGACGTCATATGTGACGTCTTTACATATTCATAATTATTTGTGTCTATTAGACGAGATCTAGTGTTAGTTGGCTATTGAGGAGCAAAGTCCTTCATTCAATAAATATAGTGAAGAGCAACGAATTTTGCTCACAAATTTTGTATTCATTAGATACCACATGCGATGACACCGACCAATCCAAGAGCTCGAATACGCACACGTCGGAATGCAGCTCACTTTGGAGGACATGACAATAGGTTTCCAATTCTCAGGAGATTGAAATTCTTTTCTGTTCTTCAAATTGGACTCTTTTGACGTCACTTGCAAGGGGTCTACTGCATTATTATAGGTGATTGCGCCTAATTTCTACCTTTGTAGCAGCTACGCTCAATGTCTACCGGGAACGTTTGAGTAGTTGAATCAAGATTTACTTATGCAACGTTGCGCGCAATGGCGTGATGGTCTTAGCCAATAAAATGCCATCTTCCCGTTCACCGCTGACCAGATATGTGTGTGTAGAGTTTCGTAGTAAATTTGCTATGAGTGAATACCTCCGTGGTTTACAAACCGTTGCAAGATGTGCCCGAGGGTGCTGGGTACTGGTTAACTAGTAGTCRATCGGTTTCCAGCTACTTTAGTATACCTTAGACCTTCCTCCTTAGAAGTTTTCCAAATATTGACAAACTTACTTCATTCAAAAAGATATCACTTGATGCCAATATACAATATACTAACACCGACCAATGAGGACAGAGGAGATGAAGGCTTTCAGCCAATCAGATTTGAGGCATTTCATGCTAATCCAAATCCAGTAGAGTATTGTATAGCTTGGCTAAGCTTGTTTTTCATGATTTCTTTAGTTGGATATCGCGGTAAATCTAAGAGATTGAAGCAAGTGTGAGCGACGGGTAGATGTTCGCCATGTTCTCCACCAGCCACTGGTTGAATAATAATCTAGGAAGTAATAGATAAAGTAGTAAATGGTAATTAGATTGAGGTGTATAAAACGGTACGCCCGTATGGACTGGTTCTCTAAAGCCCCGTTTACACTGGCGATTTTTGCTGCGATTTTTGTGGCAATTTTCGGAAATATGATATCTTTYGTCTCATCCTTCAAAAGAGACATTCGTCTAGGAAAATCTTGGTATCCTGAAAAAAACTTTACAAGTAAATTCCTTACCATTATTTATTATGGACAAAATCGCAAAATAATCGCAGCAAAAGTCGCTAATGTAAACGAAGCTTTAAAAGATCAAACAAATAGTCCCCTTCACAGTTCCCTGCGCCATCTTGAAAGCTAGCCGTGCTTTTGCATCGAAGCGAGACGAACAGTGAGCTAGCGATGATAGAGACCCTTTTTTAACACCTTGGATAATAATGATCCACATGTCTCTATCATTGCAAGCTTACCGTTCGTCTCCCTTCGATGCAAAGGCACAACTACCTTTCAAGATGGCGCAGGGAACTATAAAGGGGACAATTACGACTGTCTTCTTCACTACTTTCTCAGATTCGTTGGAAAATTGGACTTACTTTTAAACTCTCCATTCCCAATATAGGTACTCGATCGCTTCCAGTGAGAAATGCTGAAATTAGGAAGAAAACAAGCATATCAAAGTTATAAGATTAAGATATGTGGCGAAGGATCCCGAAGCGGCGAAGGACCCGATGGCAGAGGAGAATAAAACCAATCATAATGTGAGGAGGAATCAGCCAATAGACCTTTCCCAAATTCGCTTGACTGGTCACTAAACAAAGATTTCAACTCGTGGTCGAGGTAGAACTTGATGAATAAAAGAATCAAGTACAGTCTCGAGTTCAAACTATTGTTTCGTGGTCATCCAAGCGAATTCGGGATAGGTCTATTATGTCACAACAGAGGTTCAACTACATAAACGCAAATTAGCCAACGTCGAGGAAAAAACTAGGCTAAGTTAAGATTCCAGTGCATTGTGGGACTGTTTTAGGGGACGAAATAGACGCCATCTTGGTAATATGTCTTCAAAAACAGCCCCACAATGCACTGAAATGCCAACTCGACAAATGTTGCCTGCGAACTTGGGTTTGCACAAATAGAAATACAAGGGCAAGTATAAATAAATATTACTGTAAACATCTAAAGCGCATGGGTATTGTGCTTCCCTTTGCGTTTTACGCGCGCATTTTACATGCGGTTGCATTTGCAAACTTAACAAATCACAACAAAGCCTTACTAAACATTCGAAGGAGTTGTTTAGTTCAAGGTACTTCACCTAAAAATTGTTTCTTCATATCTAAAGGAAACTCATGGAATACGTCCCAGAAGTTCATAATCACAAGATGCCTGTCGTAATATTCTCCCTTGTATTCAGCAACCTAATAAATAAATAAATAAATAAAAAACTATCAATAATCTAGATGGAATACTGTATTTCTATTAGCAACCACAGGGAACCCAACTCCGGAGCGTGAGCACCGAATCTTTCTTTATCATACGGGTTTCCTGTGGGCGTCGAGTAGGTTCTCCCATATGGTGCCTAATTCAACCAAGTAAACGCCGTAAAATATTATTCTTAACTTAGCGCCTGGTTCCAGGACAGAATTCCCTATGTAGAAACAAGTAAGCATTGATCGTCAAGACCGAAGATGACGTCCAGAGCAGATTATGCGTGAATGTTAAAAGGCACGGTACATACCACTCACGGTAAAGAATTGGCCAATCACAACGCGCACTATCATTGTTTATCCAATCAAAATGCTCGCACGCGGCACCGTCACGGTCACGGTACGGTTTGTCCAAGTCCCTCGAGTTTTCAACTAGTCATGTGAAATATTGCTTTGTCACTACCGCTTTGTTCTGATTGTCCCAGAATGTGGCACAATATTGAAATAGGATCTTAAATAAAATCAAATAGCTTACTTTTTCAAAGATTTTGAAGTCATATTCTTGACAGCCAACCACCATCTCCATGAGTTCTTGAGGATGAAAAAAGTCCTGCGATGGAGCAAAAATAAATAACTAAGTAAGTAAGTGATGCTAGCAAATAATTTGAACAGCCCTGTGTTTATGCAACAACAGCTGTCAAAGCTTTGAAACGAGAATGTACTCAGAAAAACAACTATAATCTAACTATAATAACTAAAGTGGATTGACAATGTGCTATAAAGAAGGGGGGAATAGACTGCGAGCAGTCCTACTTTCCCTTTCAGAATCAGTAAAGACGAGTGTTTCAGGAATCCTGTGAACGCGCGCGGACATTTACCCGGCAGCTTTCTCCGCTCCAATCTCCGCGCGTGTCCACAGGAACCCCAAAACACTCAACGTATTTAATGAGTCTGGATTAAAAAGTGGGACCGCTCTTAGTCTAGGGGGAGAGAGGTCAAAACCAGGAGGAAATTTCTGTTGGCAGACGGGTGGGTTTGTAACCTGGATTATACGGTAATCTATCTAGAGGGTTTATGCTATGACAATGACACAGTGCAACAACCTCATGGCTATTATTCTGGTACTTACCAAGACTCTGCCACCACACACACGATGAAATCCCATCGAGAACGCTTCGAACTGCTTATGGACAGATTTATTGAGGTTGTAGTCGATGTATGCATCAACATATTGCTCCCTTTAAAGGCGTCAAAAAAAATCCCTCAAATATATATTTGCAGTCATTTTCAAGAGAGTTCAATGGAAAAAACCATGGCGGCCATGTTGGTGGTTTAACAAAAGATGCTAACGAGAAATCTTTTCGTTGAATACCACCAACTTGCAAACGAAGAATTCAAGCTATTTTTTGGTTTTAAATGATAACAAGCATTGTGAACATATGTTTACTGGCAATGGTTTGGTATATCCCTTTAGTTTACGCGAAGTTAGGGCGACCCCAGTACTAGAGATGCCTATTATATTTTTGGTGTCTCCTTTATACAATGATACCAACAGCGCTTAGCTAAACGTCAATTCAGAAAAAGTTCATTTTGCAACTATTGAAATGATGTGCGAGCAGACTGAACGTAATCGACTCTAAAAGCGCATTATTTCAGTAATGGGGGGAAAATTTATAAAAAATCTTACCTATTTTCAGCGGTAACTTTGACTTCACTTCCATTTGGTATTAAATCGATTTTCTCGACCGCACCATATTTTTCTCGTACAACCTGGGTTTATAAAATCAAAATTAAAATCGAGGTCGGGAGCAATATGAAGCCCAAACCTATGAGATCAGTTTACTTTTTCTATTCTAGCCTGGGAAAAGGGCGTTCCTGGCTGCCCCCTTCAACCTTCACGTTTTATATCGATACCCTGAAACAACCTCCTCTGGGCTGATCTAAGTCAGAGAACCGAAGTCAGTTCGAATTCAAATTTAGCTTGTAAGGTTTTATGGAGAGAGGAAAACCGGAAAAAACTTTGAATCAATGGAGAGACCTAACAAACTCTACTCACAAGTGATGCCGAGTCGAGACCCCAGAAATGTGAGGCGAGAACATAACCGCTACTCCACCCTTAGTTCCCAATCTATTGATTCTCCAACGTTAAAATAGGTAGTGGTTGCATTACAGCTCCGCCATCTTTAATAATATAAGGTCCGAGAATGGCAACTCTAAGTAAACGAATAGCCTAAAGTAATTGGTTGAATTAATTTACCTGAAAATCAAGTCCAAATGTATCCTCGACATCGTCATCGTGATAGTCCAATAGATATTGGAGATTTCTTTATGAAAGATAGAAAATATTGGGATTGTAAGTGGTTTTGGTATGCGTAATGGACTTAGTAGGTCAGTGAACATTGAAATGGCTTCAAGTAACACTGAAATGGGTTTCAGTAATACTAAAATGGCTTCCAGTAACACTTAAATGACTTCTAGTAACTTTGAAATAGCTTCCAGTAACCCTTAAATTAATTCTAGTACCACTGAAATGGCTTCCAGTAACACTGAAATGGCTTCCAGTAACGCTGAAATGGCTTCCAGTTACACTGAGATGGTTTCCGATAATGGTTTTCATTTGCATTCATTTCAGTGATTCAACCAATCCGCATGTACAAGTACGGTAACGCTCGGTAACGGTAAAATATAAAGTTCGGCTGCGCGTTATTACGGGTAACCCGCTTTCCTTAAAACTCATACAAAATCAGCTAAATATCTTATCATTTTATTAAAGAATTATTTCTGGGTATATACCTTGCAACTGAGGGTTTAAATGCTCGAAAGTCGTCGAGAGTGGGTTTCCTGTGTTGGTATGAAAACATGCAACAGATCAGAAACATAAATCTCCATAGATCTCCTATATACCATCAAATGAATCATTTAGTCGCATAAGCCTTTGTTATCCAGTCTTGGAAAAAACTTATAATAATATCCAAATTTATGATTTTCTTGTAAGAAAATAATAAACGAAATGGAAACCTGAATTTCTGATGGAGCATCTACCCCTTCCCCACCCTCTTGTCCACTCTCTTTGCCATAAAACAGGTGAATAATATATTATAATGAAATGATGTATGGTGGAATGCACCTTGCTGAGCCATGGCAAACAAACGTACCTGTGTAATAATTTTTTATACAAGACAGGAGGAAACCTGAGGTTGATAATAGTTGAATTGTAAATAGCAAGACCACATATGACACCAATAAGTAAGAACATTGGACTCTCCTCGAATGTCTGTCAAAAAAACAATATTGATGACTTTAGAAATTTGACAAAAAATGAAATAAACTTGAATGACAGTAAAGTTAAGAAATAGCAAGGTAGGTGGGTAGGTGGGTAGGTGGGTAGGTAGGTAGGTAGTTAGGTAGGTAGATAGGTAGGTAGTTAAGTAGGTAGGTAGGTGGGAAGGTAGGTGGGTGGGTGGGTAGGTAGGTAGGTAGGTGGGTAGGTAGGTAGGTGGTTAGGTGGGTAGGTACGTAGGTACAAAGGTAGGGAAGCAATATGATGGTAGGTAGATAATTAGATAGGGAGGGGAAAAGGGTAGGTTGGTAGAAGACTAGCAGAAGAGCAGACAGGCAGGTGGACAGTAAGTAGGCATGGAGGAAGGCATGTAGAAAGGCATGTAGAAATTCAGATTATCAATGTACAAATATGTCCCGACTAATAAAACTCTTACCAAATCATTGAACCAAATCGTCTGTGATTCTTCTATACAAGTAAACATTCCATACTTTGGATCAAGAAGTTCAGTTAACAAAAGTAGAAAAAATTCCTAGAGAGCAAAATATTAAAAAAATCTCATGTAAGTTACAGAGTCATTTCAAGATTATTTATCTGTTTTATGAGTAACTGACTGGATCCTAGATCTATAAAATCGGTTAAATATCTAACACAAAGAGCTTATTCACCTTTCTTACTCCACCAACATCGACTGCTTCTTCGTTTACAAAAATAACCTAATTACAAAAAAGGGTGTCAGTCGATTGCTTAATGACTTGAAATTTAAGATAGAGACCAAGTACAGCTTCAAAAATAGTTTAGACTGCTACTGCTAGTCTTTATCAGGCGATGATGTAGACTGGAAGGTGGTCTTCTTATTCTTCGTTTGCACGTTACGTCATCGCGGCCATGTTGGTACCATTTAACAAAAGATTTCTCATTAGCATCCATTGTTAACGGTACCACAATGGCCGCCATGTTTTTGTCTTTTAACTCTCTTGGGAATGCTTGCAACTCATTAATATCCCGTCAGTCTGGAAACGCCGTGGTCCACCCAACTGCCACAAGTGTGAGATAATGAATAAGTATAATTTTTGATTTTTATCCACGATGAATAATCATTTTCATTTTATTAGTAAAACGACATTTTCTTTATACCTTGAGTGGCTTCTTGAGGTCAACTGGGTGTGACTTTGTTATCTGTGTGAGAGTATCTTGGACGATGTTCTCCCGATGAACCAGGATGACAAGACAAGGGTGTATCGGGGTTGATGGAGCCATGGATATCAAGGACTGCACATTACGCCGATGGACCTCATCTACAGCTGACTAAAGAAGAGATGGCAAACCATACTTAATAGGATAGCTGTTATTTGCTGTTACTATTCTTATGAGAAAATACAAATTTGAATAAGACAAAAATTCCGAGAAGGATTTTGGCAGTAGTCAGGTAGTCTAATGCCATCGTACAGATAGCTTATTATACGTACAACTTTGTTTCACGGGTAAAATCATTTTATATGTATTTTAATATGTCAGTACCTGCATTTGCATGACAGCATCAGTTTGCATCAGCAAGGTCTTGGCACTGGCGTCGAAGACAAAGGGAAAGCGACAGAATGAGAACATGTTCTGTTAAGAAAGAAGAGCAACCATTTTTGCAGTCAAATGTATTGACAATTCGCAGTTTTATTCCATGCTTATGCAATTAAAATGAAAGTCATATTATGGATACGTAGTAGTGGTTTGTAGTGTTTTATGAGGTTATGCCTTGCATGTGTCTTACGATTTAAACTGCTAAGAGTACAGGAGAAATATACACACTATCCGATCCATGTATTATATATATATTCCTGCATCGTTTGCCTGTAAAAAGGTCGACGTAATCAAGCTATCTAACGCTACAGTTGGGTCGATCAATTACCCCGCTACCACGGGAGGGGAGCACTCTTATTTAGGCGCCTCTTTTAGAATGGCCCTCTATCTAGCATTTTTTAGCTCTTGGAAGTGGTTCTCTTATTTAGGCAACCCTGTTGGTGATGGTCCTCCTATCTAGCACTTTCTTGTTCTTGATAGTGGCCCTCTTATATAGGCGCCCCTTTAGGGGGATAGCCCTTTTGTCTAACACTTTCTCGCTCTTGGAAGTGGTCTTCTTATCTAGGCGCCCCTTTTGGGGAATGGCCCTTCTATCTAGCACTTTCTCGCTCTTGGAAGTGGTCAGCAAGGCTTTGAATGTCAGATATCACTTATTATCTGAACATGAAGTCCGTACTGTAAGTTATTGACCGCAAATTAACCTATCGTATCGTACAAAGAGTATCAATCTTCAGAAGGGAGTGTAATTCCGTATTTTTTTGTTTGTGTTTGTAATTAGCGATGGTGTTAAAGGCAACTAACAAAACCCTCCGTGCACATGCAGGTTAGGCTCTACAATCACAGTCTACAATCACACAAGCCTACCACTGCTCGGCGAAGAAACGGAAAGTCCCGCAGTAAAGTTTGCATCTAAACAAAAGAAAAGCTATAGTCAATAGCTTACTCTCTAGATCTAGACAGCGGACACTAGCTACTAGAATGTTACTCTTACTAGCTACTACTCAGAATATGACAAAAAAACATTAGGTTTTACTGGTTATGCATAGGAAATGAGCTGCAGTAGGCTCCAGATCAGATGTACTGTAGCCTTATTTTGCACTTCAAGGGAAGTACCCACTCAAGAGTGATATGTGGACATCAGGGTGAATAAAACACCCAATCCTTACAGATGCATGCTGTGTTATGGAGTGCTACATGTATGGGTTTCTAGTTGACTGTGCTTCATTCCATTAAGATGATAGGCAGATAGATATAGTATTGCTGAGTTGCACTAGTGACGAAATTTCGTCTCGTTTTCAATAGAATTATTTCTGTCTGACAGCACATGGTGGTCAGTGTTTGACCCCCATGTGGAGCAGATAATGAGATTCAAAAACTTTTATCAGCTGAGTGAGAGCCAGCAATATACCTCATTTTGAATCCAGTTGTAGTAATCAGCTCTAATGTCCACCACGCGCTGGATCTCAGGCACATAAAATTCCTTGAAGGGAACAATGTCACCAGACTCTGCGTTGACCTACAAGAATGATGACTTGTTTATAAGGTGACACAATAAGAAAACCTCCACCACCCTACTGATGATTGGCATCACTAAGACCCCACCCCTTCCCCTTGAGGAATGTGTCAATGACTTCCACTGGACCACAACCAGTTTTCCTTTTCCAAAGTTCTCCACTAGCATTTATTGGGTTATTGCCGCTTTCACACACGTAACGCGATATGCAATCGTAGGCACGATAGACCTATACAGCTTGAGCGTAATGTCTTCCAATAGAGTGCAAGCCGTAAAACCATGAAATAAAAACAAAGTTGGTACTGACAAATACTACTATTTAGTGACAAATAGTTGCCATCACTCAACCAGAACATTCGGTATACAATGACAAAAATTGTCTCTTGCGTATTTGTCTTAATGCTAGTGAACGTTATTAGAAACATCATTACGACATACTTTGTTTAGTAAAGACAGTGCTTCCATACAAACATTGAGATCTGTTTGTCTCGTACCAATCTGAAGGGAAAAAGAAAACAGTAATATGATGATACCACACTGCACTAACGTAGATCGAGACAAAAAAAAAGTTTGCTTTCGGCCCCAACATAGTTCATGCGGGATTCCTGTGGATTTGGCTGGAAAATGGTACACTGCTCTCAACCCCTCTCCCCCAAAGTATATTCGAGACCTCGCTGGGCCCCTGCCACACTCACCACACCAAGCTTACTTAAGATAAAAGACGTAAAGTGACGGTTACCTCAATGGGTGTAGATGGGGCTGGTAATTGTAGCATGAATCGAACAGCATCTTGAAAAAGCTGTAAACCAGCAAGATAAAAGACTGAGCGAGCTACCAAATAGCTATTTTTACTTAGAAATTATCGTTTAAATATTATAAAAATAACTAAATGATCTTATAACCAAAAATTCAATGGAACAAATCCACTTGGGCGTAATGTTTTGCCCTTTTCAGACTACGTGTCACCACCTTGAGAATAATATTTTTTGAGATGTATCCATAGTCATGTGTCTTCTCATGTGCAACCGTTAAACAAAGAAAAAATACTCTAGGGAATGACACGTGGTCTAAAATGGAAAAAGAGTGGATAAGGTCTATAGTAATAGCAGCATTGTCGACTATTATGTGTACGGTGTAGACAGATTGGGAAGTCTTCTTTCTTCCGCCATTTCTCTCTCTTGATTGGTCCCCTCATCCCCTGTTATCCATAGGCTTTTTTATGTTCTCTCTCAGCATTACTCCATTCCCTTATCCCCTCGTCTTATCATCTCCCTATTAACCCCATTCCAAAACATCTCCCCTTAAAACTGACCTTCAATACATTGGAGAAATATGTTGAAGGTAACGAGGACCACCAGCGGCGCAAAACTTTATTCGCTTCTGCTGATAGTCGTAATATACTGTTGCCGAAGGGAATGACAATGTCATTAAAGCACTGTTTAGAACGAATCATTTCAAACTCTGGCAGTATAATATAGACCCTCAGGGCCTCGATATCTGGTGGTAGGTGTTGAAGCATGGATGGAATAAGATAGTGGGCAATCGATGAGATCATCTAGAAGACAATAATATGGAAGAGAAGATTAGTATATATACACCTAATTGAAAAAACGTAGTCGGGTTCAAGAAGGTCATTTCACTAACTAAAGACCAAAAATGATTTTGGGTACTCCGAAATGTGTATTATATTTGCATATAGACATGTAAAAAGACACAGTAGAGCAAAGTCGATCGACCTAGATTAACATGCCAAAGCCATGATGCATAAAATGTGCACAGGAATGGAAAACTGCAATACGTATGAAATTAGCATAATTGTTTGTCTTCCCATGCTCCCCTCTGGTCTTAGCTTTGATGATATAACCTTTTTTTTAACCCGACAACGATTTTTCAATTAGGTGTATGAGAATTCTTTATTTTCTGGATCTTACATTGTGTAGTCCCAGAGAATTTCCATACCTCACTATGGTAGGAACTTTGGAAATAGATCCCCCCCTCCTCCCCCTCTGGAATTTCCAATTTTTTTCCAATACCAACCTTGTAATTTTGTCTTTCCTCTGACCCCCCACCCCCTGGGAATTTCCAATTTCCTCCATGGAGGGGTATGAATATTTTCTGGGACCACAGCTCAGTAGACTGTAGATCAAGCAAAGAAGGCGAGAAACTCAGGAGGTGATGATGAGAGGCGATCTAAGCTACCACTACAGCTACCAATGACAACACCTCTCTTGATTTCCTGGTTGTTGCTGCTCGGTCTTGTTTTGACTTATAAAGTTGCTGTTGTTTTTTTGTTGTTTTTTTTTTTGCTGTGTTTTTCTTGTTCTCGTTATAGTATTAATCAATTCTATTTATTTTATCTGACAATTTTTTTATCACTAGTAATAAATGAGTTAAAGGGGCACTTAGATGAAAATCAATGAAATTTAGAAATGACTTGGTTAAACTTATCTAGATATGGTCCAGAAAGTAGCCAAGCAACATGTTTCCTTCACAGTCAAAAGTGGTGGAAAAAAGTTATCAATTTTATTCGGCATCTAATATAAATTGAGGGTAAATGAAGTCATTTACTCAACCCTATTGTTCTTTTTGCTTTCGACCCAAAATATCTTAACAGCAAGTGGCTCCCAGGCTAAAATTTTCACTAATCTGATTTTCATAATTATATTTGAGTCATTATCCTCAAATACTTCAATTATTCGGACTTTCAAAAATAAGGGGCATTTTCATTCAAGTGCCCCTTTAAACAGGTCTATTATACAGGTACTCACAGCACCCTTGATGTGTTCATTGGGTATTGCTCCAAGTCTAAGAAAAGACCTTCTTAACGCAGGTAACTCAATTCCATGAACACGTGAACTGACTTTCTCATCTAATCGTCTGTACCAAGAACATAAAGACATATTGTCATTCACTTTTGAACTGTAAGTTGAGTCTAGTCGTATGCACATATCATGTAGCTTTTTATCATACTGCAGTTTTCAATATTCTGCAAACTTAGTAGTTACGATTTGATTTTTTGCACTGCCCTCAATCAAAAATAAACAGTCCATACCTTTTATGTTCTTGACCAGTGGCAGTATAAAAAACAAATTTGCAAACGAGCAGTTGAAATGTCAGAATTCGCAGAATATTGAAAACCGCAACAAAATTACTACACTGAAATGTTGGAAGATCACTTGTAATAAATTTTGATATACTCTTTCCAATAAAAGAAATGATGTTTTCTCTAATGGATGAGGTAATAATAATAATAATAGTAATGGATGAGGTAATAATAATAATAATAATAATTTAAAATTTCTATAGCGTTAGTATCCGCTAGTTCAATAACGCTAGGTAAGGTATCTAGTTCATGTTTATAGGGTGTACATGTAGAATATATACATAACATTTCCTTGGTAAACGAGTGGTGGTACAGTGTATTCCCAACTGCTACACGAGCTATCATCATCTTCAACCGCACCCACCATCATAATAACTATCCCAGCATGGTGTATTGTTAACACACATGTACTGTACTGTAGTGTGCAACACAGTAGTTTTACACAAAGTTTCCTACCTGTTAAGAAATGATCCATTCAGACATGCTTGCGATGAAAAGATGGTTTCAAGAGTACTAAGTTTCATGAAACAAAACCAAGAGTTGGAACTATGATTTTTATAGGTTCAAGTTCAAGTTTCAAGTTTATTCACACACAATAAATACAATTACTGTATAATTACAAAATTAAATTGCATGTTTTTTTAGGTCGATAGAACAGTGATTTTTTTTCTGGGAGAAGGAAATGAGCAACAAAACTTAACCCAGAAATAGTGCACAGCACTACCACTTTGTTAGACTTGCATGATTTCCATCAGCTACAATGTATTTTAGCTTTTCTTTACTTACTCAAAAGTATCTCTTGGGTCAGATTCCATTGAAGCTTCTTTGACAAGATCACATGTGTATGATTCTGACAGTGTTAGTAAAGGCTGAACAGGCAATTCATCTCGCAAATCAGCTGGACCATCAACCTCATCCTTAAGACAAACAAAAAAAACACAACAATTTAATCTATCAAATCAAAATTATAGCAAATTTTATGAAATTTTATTGGTTTAAACTTTATAAAGGTAAAGTGCTAATTTAAAAAAAGATCCATATTCTTAATCTTAAACTGTAAGGTCTGCCCATACTTTTATGATTTACTCACGTTATTTTTATCAGCAATAACAAAGCAGTGATCACCACCGGCCATCATTTTTAATACTCTATAGCCAGTTTCAGGGTTGCCACGCTGTGGAGACCAAGGACCTTTGACTTGTACACAACTGTTACTGTTAGATGTCACATTATCAATGCCAAGCTGTCCACTATCTCCTTTGCCAAATGCATAAATCTTATTGGATGATGGAACGAATGCTAAAGTATGCGACCTACAGTAAAGGGTATTGGCTCAGTATATTTGAGTTTAGGATAAATTCATCAAGAATCTATAAAACAAATGCAGCATTAAGTTTTGGCTGAGTTATCACAGAGTGGGACAATCACATTGTGTGTTACATGCATATTACAATGCATTGCTTGTTCCTATTAACATGTTTTGGACTTTTATGGTCTAAGACTCAATGGAAATATATGAATTTAAGATGGGAAATAGGACTTTTGCGTGATGGTGTTATTTGACTCCCACTACCATAATCCCTCTAATACTTTGTTTCCTTCAGTTAATTATTAAATTAGAACCAGTTATCTTACCAAAATAAGAGATAAAACTTCGCAAAGCATTTGGTAGTGGGGGTCAAATGTCACAATCATGCAAACTTCGTATTGTGACACAAATATGTCCAAATCTTGGATGGAAAATCATACTTGCATAATCTGAGCATAATTACTATGAGCCATACCTGCCACAAGCAATTTGAGTGACTGCACTTCCCATTAAATCAAAAACCTGGAGTCAGAGAAAAATGGGTAAGGATTGAATAAGTTGGGTTATATATAGGTTGGTATAGAATGAGATAAGTATGAGATAAAAGAGAAGAGAAGAGAAGAGAAGAGGAGAGAAGAGAAGAGAAGAAAAATGTAAGCTGTATTGCAAGTTGTACCTTTTTTGGACAATTTTCATCAGTGTCTGAGTTATGCCCCAGTTGCCCTGAGCTGCCACACCCAAAGGTAAATACTCCACCATCCTAGTGAAAACATAAATTACTGTACATGTATTTGTTTTGAGAAAAAATATTTACCACCAAACAAGTCAGTTTTGGATGCTTCATTCACTGGGATTAGCCTCCATTTTATCATGTAGAAAAATTCGTCATTGATGTTAGTGAAGGTCCATGGATGAAGTCTCAAAGTGTTTGTATCTTTCAAGATGTGTATAATTTACTTTACCACTGCAGGGCATTCATTAATATTTTTAACCAGGTGAAATGATACTTAACCCTGAATGAATGAGTCTGAGGTTTAGATAGAATTATACTCAGTGAAATTTTAAAAGCTGATTAAAAGAAAAAAAATGTATTCAATATTAAAAACTACAATTACCTGTGTCAATGCTGCTGTGTGGTTCTCTCCGCATGCAACATATCTTATTTGCTGTGACCGCAGAGATCTTAATAATGTTGGCATGTGACGGACTATGAAAATAATAAAGACATTAAAAGACTGTTCCAATGGAAGATGGATCATGATGAATGTACAGCACAGGGCTCGAAATAGCAGCCTGCCAATGGCCAAATAACAGGCCAAATTTCAGGTTTGGTGAAAATAACAGTGCACTGCCAAATGAATAATAAAATGGCATGCAAAATTTACTTGAATGACCTCCTTTCAGGCTCCTAAAAATACTATGGCAGGCTATAATTTTTTCCTATTTCGAGTCCTGAGGCAAATAAAGAACTTAATATAAATCTAACAATATAGAAGCAAATTTTGTATAACACTAGTTGGTGTTTTGAAACATTAGCAAATGTTGGGATGTTAATTTGCCAACCATTATCACAATTCTTGCAAAGTTAATGTTTTTCACCAGCAAAACTGGCAAAGCAACTAGCACTATACAGTAGAACATATTTTTAGTCTTAATAATTATAAGGTAGTTTCCCCCTCAGCCGCTATCAGTGTGGTCATGCAATGCTTTGTCACTGATAGTGGCTGCGAGAGAGACTAAATATAAGGCAGCATATTATGAGAAAATTTGATATAATAAATTATTAAAATAAGTTTAAGATTTACTCATTTTGTCGAGTCTTTTCATACTGTACCTTTATTGTCATGAACACCAAGTTGCCCATACCTAAAAATTATAAAGAGGTATGAGAATTTTATGTATTTACCAGCATTCAAGATCACTTGGATTTGGAGCTACATGTGTAGGCCTTGGGTAACTAATAAGCTAAGTCGATGATGAATGGATGAATGAAGATGAACAATCTTGAGTGTCATAGTGGTAATTAAATGGGTGGTCCGGGGCTGGAGGGGGGAAAGCACACACAAACACACACTTTTTCCCATAGTACTAATTATCTAATATATTTTCCAATCTTCCAATCTGCGATCCCTGCCTTGACGTATGATAGCAAGTAAAAAAATTAAACAAAAATCTTATAATATGCATACCAAAGATGTAGTACTTACTCATTGTTCCCCCAACCAAACAGAGCTCCAGATGTAGACAAAGCAAAGCTGTGTGCTCCCCCAACACAAATAAGACCAAATGGAACTCCATCAAGAGATGATATTGGGACTGGCACAGACTGGTTGGCAGTTGAACCAATTCCTAACTGGCCAAAGGTATTCTCACCCCAAGAGAATAAATAACCTCCTAAAAACATATTAGTGTAAGTATTAGATTTTAAAGGGGCACTTGGACGAAAATGGATAAAAATTGGAAATGACTTTAAACTTAGATAAAAGTATCTGTATGGCCCCAGATAAAAGTATCTGTATGGCCCCAATAGTATAGGCAAGCAACATATTTTCTTCACAGTAAAATGTGTCGGATATAAATATTCAAATTTATGCAGCACATAAATTGTGAGTAAATGATGTCATTTACTCAACCCTATTGTTCTTTTCTCTTTTAACCCAAAATTTCTCAACTGCAAGTGGCTCCCAGGCAAAAATTTTCACTGATCTGGTTTACATAATCATAATTGAGTCAAATTATCCACAAATACTTCAATTATTCGGACTTTGAAAAATTGGGGCGTTTTCATCTAAGTGCTCCTTTAAACTACATTGTAAACTGTTTCTCCAAATTATAATACTAGAATACAGTATCATTATGGACTTATAATTACTGATCTTATCAAAATCCATTGTTTTCAGTCTGCATTATCCCAATGAATGCATAGAGGAAAATCAGACATATTTAGTTCATTCATTRTTGGCTTTGTTTCTATGATAAACAAGCTAGAAAGAAAACAATTGGATTTTGATAAGAACAATAATTATACTAGATAATCACTTCGGCACGCAGCATTCGTAGGTATAATGCAGGCAGCTGAGGGCGTAGCCTCAGTAATTATCTATTAAGTATTACTACTGTAGATTAGTTCAGCATAATCAGAATGGATAGATGGCATGAGAAATGATGATGATGGTAGTGATGATAGACAAATAGATTTTGTGCATACAATACAACATTGTGATGTGGATGCTGGGAATGGTGATGATATTTTTGGACTGTATAAAGTTACATTACAGTGTTAATAAAATTTGGTGGATTCTTTTAGAAACGACAAATGTGATGATGATGGATAGCCCAATTAGATGATATCCTTTCATGATTGATCATAAACAGACTTACTGGAAGATGGTCATAATCAGGGCTTACTGTAAAACAACTCCCAGTCAGTCACCAGCCATGATCACTATAGCCAAATTAGTTAATTAGCTTGGTTATACCTTATTTTCTGGCTCAACGTTACTGGTCAAAGTGACTTTGTAAGGCAATTACTTGATATTACAAACTCTAATTCAGGATGGACATTGTCCAATGACCTGCTTTTATCTGAAGCCCTGGTAAAGATGATGACGATGATGATGATGATGATGATGATGATGATAATGGAGAATGTTGGTGATGACGGTGATGGTGATCATAATGGAAGAAAGGGTTATTGCCAGTCATACCTTTAGACAAGGCCATGCAATGATTAGCTCCACATGCTATTTGTACTATTGTCATCTTTGCCAGATGTTTGATCATCCTATAAAACAAATATTACAGTTTATCATAATATATTACAATTTAATTCTTCTTTGAAAAATATCATGCATCTTATGTCCTACAGTATATCTGTCATAAACCATTCTAGTGGTATACTCCGACGAAGGACTAGCGTCCGAAACATCATTAAGTTTTTTCATCTTTTCACAGTGTATAATTTACCTTTTTATCATTACTGTTTCATTAGAAACACCGACGCAGCTCACACTAGTTTTTAGCTAGTTATATCTTCTTAGTGGTATACTACTTGCTTCTCGCCGCTGTGGTCCAGGTTCAAGGCCCAGACTCAGACTGGATCACAATATTATGTGATTTGAGTGTGTTTGATATTTTAGACTCTCCCTTATTTCCATGAGAGTTTTCTCCATGCTCTCAAGCTTTCTCTCTCCATAAAAATCAAAATGTGAGTTGCGTGAACATTGTAYGCTGTAAATATAGAATATAGTGGTACAACTGTAGTGTGTGTGGAGAGAACCTCATACAAGAGCCCCATACGTATGGTGGTGGTAGTCATAAAAATATATTAAATCTGAAACCAACCTAGGCCATGTTATATTCATTTTCTGAGCATTTCCAAGTCCCATTTGCCCACAGGAGTTGTCTCCCCAGCTGAAGACTAGTCCTTGGTCAGTTACAGCAAGGGTGTGGTTTTCACCACATGATACTTGAGTAATGCTATGGGTGTCTAAGGTTGTCACATGTTCTGAAACACAACAGTGAATGGCAAAATAATAAGGTATATAAATGAAAGATATAAACTTACATATGAATTGTGGTGAAGTCACCCAAGAGTTCAGCCGCCAGAACCAAACTCTGACACCTGAAGTCATGGTTCATTCGTTCGTTCATTAACAATTAAAAACTCATTAATAATTCATGAAGGAAGCACAATAGAAATCATGAGCATGAAGGTGATTTTATATCTAATATAGACTCGTCTTCATTTGCATAAACTTTAACTTGGATTTTCTCTATCAAACTTGGTTCATTTCGTAAAGAATTCAGTACAATATGAGAACATACATCATGAGTTTTTTAAGCCATTCAATAAACTCGCAGATCATGTTTTATCAGGTCTAAAAACACTTGGCTACGCCTCGTGTTCTTAAATCCTGATAAAACACTCCTGAGAGTTTATTTAACAGTTTTTTAATATTCAGTGACGAACACTCAATCATAGGGCTATTATCGATTTATTTCTAAATTTTAAACATTTAGCGAACGTATTTTGCACAAACATTGATAAATGGGACACACACAATTCACCTCTAGGTGATTTATTGATGAATAATCCAGAGTTCTTGACCAAATACCCTGCTTGATGTTCTATAATCACCCGGGTAATGATACTAAAAATGCTTAATTTTATCCTTTTCATTATATCAACAAATTCGTTTTCTGCAAAGGTTATAGCATTGTCCTACAAGCTAGACTAATTATACTTGCATATGTGAATACCTGTTATAATAAATACAAAATAAATACAAAATTTGACAACTACATTATATAGATAGATAAGCATTAAAAAGCATAGGAATTTTGTATGAGTTTGGCAATGTTGTGTAATTTATTATTATTATAAATATATACATACATAAGCTTACATTTAAGACTTATATTAAATACGTATGTAAGCTCACAATATTTGATAAGTACTGCATAAATTAAGACAATAACAATAAGAAAAATCTGATGTTGATTTAAAATTAAGAATTTTCAATCTCGTTTTGTGTTACCTTTTRAAATAAGCTGAATTCCGTAAATAACGCTACAATATTGTTTTTGAAATATCAACAAAGGTGAAGTTAGATCATAGTACTGTACAACGTATATGTTTTGATGCAGGGAGATGTAGATATAATATTTCGTTATTTCGAGTTTACAATGTTTTTTTTTCTACACTCACCAGGTTGGCAACCTTCCTTCTCGTACCCCAGCTGTCCATAGTCGTTATTTCCACACGTGTACACCGCGTTGTTTTTGGTCAAAAAGGCTGTATGCCTCCAACCACACGACAACCATTTTATGTTTTCCAGAGAAAAAGATGCCTCGCCAACGCTTCTTGGTCGAGTCACGATTTCCTCTTCTGTTTCTCCCAGACCAAGCTGGTCGTCATTGTTCTTTCCCCAACAGAACATCGAAGGGTAAATGGTTGTATTTGTTGTTATTTTATCATTTTTAGATCTTGTTTTGTGAGGTTTAAAGCGAAGGAATCTAAAAAACTAAAGTTGCTCAAACCACCAACAAGCTTGTGGTGAGCCCGCGATGTATAAACACTGACCAAATCGGGGACTGGGAACTACTATTCTTTGTTCAATTTTTTCCTCGGCGTTCATATTCTTCTCTTTCTTTCATTCCTCCTTTCGTTTTCTTACTTTCTTTCGATTTTTCTTTCCTTTTTGTTCGGTTTTTTTTTTCGTATATTCACTTTTCTTTTTTTTTTTATTTCATTTATCTTTCTTTCTTCCGTTCCATTTTTTCTTCCGGCCCTCCAACTTTTGTAGCGCGCGCGTCGATGGTGCCAATAAAAATCATCGCGTACCAGTGGCTTTGGAATTCACTCGAGCGCCTTGGGCTCGTTCATCTCAAATCACAACCCAAACTTCGCCCTGTCTTTCCTTTTGTACTTGATTCTGCACTGATTACTGTATTGTCTTGCGTAGAGAATGGTGTAACAATTCACACAAATCCATTGCACCTCAACTCACCAATGTTCACTATTTGTTTATACAAACAGTGATGTGTGACAGTCACCACTCATTCGAGGATTGGTGTTGGACTGGATTGAACGTCTAACTTCTGAAGGTAAGCTACTTTTATAAAGCTTAATATCTTGTCATAAATCATTTATACCATTACTTTACCAATTTATTATTTAAAAGTAGTGTAATACCTTGAACAGTTCGTACATAAAGAGAGCTAGGAATATTAATTTGACATAAAATGGAGTCTAGTATAAATATGTAAAAAGAACTTAAATAGTGATGCGCTTGCCAAATTAATAAAGCCCTTGGCTTTAATTCTTTTACTTTACTTTGTTTTACATATAAAATTAACTGTTAAACGGAAAAACTAATATATCCTAGTTTTTCAGGTGACATCAAAGTTTGTCGATGGCAATGCTGTTTCAAATCGTCAGAACCTGCTCTCTGTTTGTATTTCTGATATTCCTTGCACCTTCTCAAGGTTTGTGAGCCAATTCACTTCGTAATATCTACCACTTTAATGTCACGTTAAAGTTTACCCTGGGGTTCATGTTATAACACAGTATATAGACACGCGCGCCTTTCATATTCCTAAAAAGAACGGATGGATACGTAAAACAGGATTTGAAAGCACCAGAGGATTTGAAAGCACCACGTGAGCATGCGCACTTCTCGAATGATATTCCAATCACCAAGCGCTTTATAACTTCATACAGAACCGTAAGCAAGTCAGTTTACCTTATAAAATATAAACTAGAATAACCCGGCGTTATTTTTGATACAAACGCGCATGCTGTGTGCTGTCATAAAGCATTAGCCAGACCAATGCAAGATTTATGACAATTATTTTATAATTAAAATTTAAAATTGAATCCATCTTTCTATCTACCTTTTCATTTTTCAATTTAATTTTCACAGGTCAAGGCCTTCAGTTTGGCATGAACCATTTTCCTGCGGGTGAGACCTATTTTTCCTGTGGTAACTTATCCTTTAAGTCACCATTCCAGTCATCCGACGTGCATATCCACACCACTCTGTTCAACAAGGATCCCAATGGGAACACCTATGAAGCCGCGGTGAGTTGGGTCGAGGATGTAACGCCAATAGGATTCAAGGCATGCGCAGTAACTGCTGGCCTTTACCGAGATATGAAGACGTTGATTGTCAACTGGATGGCGTACGAACAGACTCCACAGGGATCCCAGACTGGGCGTCATATGTTACGTAGCTTTGTGTCAGGAACTACTTGCGAGGAAGTCTTTTTTCCTTCGGTAAGTAAATTAGGTACTCAAGTATGGATATGTGACGCTTGGAATTAGTTTGTTCGAGTTATAACGTCGGTCCTCGATTCAGAACTCTACTCCTTCTCCCTCTCCCTCTCCCTCTCCCTCTCC